CACAGCTCAGTACTCAATACTCATGAGTACTTTTAAATAGGTTACTCTTTTACTCTTACTCAAGTAGTTTTTTGAACAAGTACTTTTACTCTACTCACACTACATTTTTTGGAAGGTAATGGTAGTTTTACTCGAGTATATTTTTTCAGTACTCTTTCCACCACTGCCCATATATACGCTTACTTCCATACTATATAGCATTATGTGAGCCGAGTAGCATGTCCAAATTCATAGTATTCATAAAACAGATGAACAATACACAGATGACCTACTACTTCCGGTAGAATTCTGAAGTGTGCATCTGATGGACACTTTACCATCTCATGAGGCCACAGGAGAGGATTTGTGAATGGAAATGAAGCAACGCAACTGACACATTACAAGGACAACATATCATATGTTCAACATATGTCCGATTTTCATTCATACTATATAGACATCATTTTTGAATGCTTGTTTGTGATTTTGTATGCAGCGACAGATGGTGGTTCATGGGTTCACAGACAGCGCCGCCTGGTGGCGAATCAGCAAAACTCAAAACACGTACCTATACGTACAAATCGCTGAGGCAGTAAAACTCTGACAACTTTTATTCCTTTTCACACAAAGTATGATTTACAGGGCCAGAGTTTTGATTAACAAAGCATACTTTTCACACAATTACGTCAGTTAGCGTCACATACACAGCTGCATATGTATGGGTTTTCTAATTCAGTAGGTTTGCTCGGTAGCTCACCCGATACGGTGTTGCACTTGTGAGGTGAAGTGCTCCGGTAAAAATCCCATGAAACTACAGTTCTACAGCTCAAACCCACATATAAGGAAGCTTAAATAGCACGGTTGCATCAGTGAATGCATTTTTGCATTATCAGCAAGGTTTAGGGTTGGGTTTGGTGTAGGGAATATTTCCAACACAGTCAAACATTAGCATTTTAGTGACACTCCCCAGACATTTGAATTCAGAACCGCCCCAAAACGTACCTTAAGCAATGTAATAAAAATACAGCAATACATGCCTGTACCAATGTAATAAAAACATGGCATACCGAATGCGCGTTTTATATGATTTACAGGGCCAGAGTTTTGATTAACAAAGCATACTTTTCACACAATTACGTCAGTTAGCGTCACATACACAGCTGCATATGTATGGGTTTTCTAATTCAGTAGGTTTGCTCGGTAGCTCACCCGATACGGCGTTGCACTTGTGAGGTGAAGTGCTCCGGTAAAAATCCCATGAAACTACAGTTCTACAGCTCAAACCCACATATAAGGAAGCTTAAATAGCACGGTTGCATCAGTGAATGCATTTTTGCATTATCAGCAAGGTTTAGGGTTGGGTTTGGTGTAGGGAATATTTCCAACACAGTCAAACATTAGCATTTTAGTGACACTCCCCAGACATTTGAATTCAGAACCGCCCCAAAACGTACCTTAAGCAATGTAATAAAAATACAGCAATACATGCCTGTACCAATGTAATAAAAACATGGCATACCGAATGCGCGTTTTAGCGCCACTCACTGAATATTTCACGTTGAAACGGCTCGGTGTTGAAGAAACATCACTACAAGCACATATCTTCAATGAGCCTGGGTTGAATAAGAAACATGACTGTCATGGTTTAATATGTGCTCTGAATCACTGACTTGGAATAAATGAATCACAAAGGTTTTGAAATTTCACAAAGAAGTGTTTGGAAAATGCCCATCACTACATTTAGCACCAAGACTCCAAGTTTATTTGGTGCAACTCACAATCTTCACGCCTCCATCCTCTGCTCAGTGCATGTCAAAAACTCTAAGCTTTTCAGGTTCATGGGAGGCAAACTGTATCTGCAGTGGGCTGAATTGGCGGGCAGGCTTTTCTTAGAGGGCAGCCTGGAGATTTTTCCTCTAAAAGAAGCGATAGTCTATTCGGTAATGGCAACTGCAGCTCCTTGGCTTGATGTGAAAACCACAGTGCTCTCTTAACGCTGCGCTGGAAAGTTCTGACGGACATTATCTCAGCCGTACTGCTGTGCTCAGGGTCCAAAGATCGCCTCCATCAGGCAACCTCTGTTTGACATTACCACTCATTCGTTCAGCACGTGGCGCGAGTGCACCAACTCACCGCCACATCAATACCTAGAGACCGAACATGCGACGTAGTGGAAAACCATTTTAAATCGCACGCATTCAGAAGGAATGCGGCGGCAGAGCTTTGCATTAAATGACAGCCCCATAAGCTGAGAATGAACACCAGAATGTATTCAGTGTGTTTGACAGAGAAAGCGGGGAAGAATCTATCAACTCACGCGCACTTCATCTCGCTCCGACTAATATTACGCTGTCACTTTGACTCGTGTACGCGTGCGGGTGTACGCGTGGGCCGGGTGCAATTCTCCAGTGCTGCAGAGGAGCGAAAAAAAAAGGTAGGACATGGGAGTAAACACAATCAGGCGACCCTCCAGGCTCTGCTTTAGACCAATTGAATGTTTCATTATTAAAATAGGCTTTGTGCATTTACAGCTGATGCCAGCACTAACCTGATTTATTTAGTCATAATTCTGCACATCAGATATGATCACAGAGTGCTTTCGTCTGGCATATGACTCATTTCATATGCATTGGAAGATGCAGAAAAAGCAATATCTGATTTGTTTCACTTTGTTGTCAGGACGAGCAGTTTTGTACATCCTATATGGGAAGAGTGCAGAAGACCAAACATCAGAACCCCACAGAAATATACTATTTGAGACAAACAAAAAAAAAAGTATGTATTCTTACATTGCCTAGAGGACTATGGTGTAGTCCATTCTGCAGCTTATTTTGGCCAAGAGCTGCCCATTTAGACAGGAAAGGGTTGTCTGACTGATGTTAAATGACCAACTGCAGTATATTTTTCTGTATGATATATAGGGGCGGATAAATGTGCATTTGGACATAACTAAGAGCAGAATATACAGTTGTGCCCAAGCATATCTCATTTATTTGTTACTAACAGGGTTCCACACGACCAATAATACGACGGATGAATTTTAGTATATTGTTCATTAATACCAGATAAGGATCTAAAAATAGAGATGGCAATTAAAAAGGGAATTTGTAGATTATCTTATGAAGTTTAAAAAGCACATATTCTGCATGACCATATTCTACATCCCTAATCCTACCCAATACCTAAACTTAACAACTACCTTACTAACTATTTATAAGCAGCAAATTAGGAGTTTATTGTCGCAAAAGTCATAGTTCATGGTTTGTTAATAGCGAGAACTGGACCTTAAAATAAAGTGTGACCATAATTATTTTAAGGTCTAGCATAATTGGAAATTCACATGGCTTTTTAAGGTCTGGAAATCACAATTTAAAAAATTATTGATATGTCCAGGTTTTTCATGGCAATGGTAACCTAATTTTTGAAGATTTGAAGCCATAAACTTAGGATATTCCAGTACTATTCAAAAATACATACAAATCTATTCAAATATACAATGAATGGAATAAACCTCTTCTGTGATAAGCATGTTTTTCCCCCCTTATTTTTTATTTTTTTTTATGGTCAAATCTAAGATATAGGCAAAATGTCAGGGTGATACCACTGACGATTTAAAAAAGCCTAATTAAAATAAACACATTCTTGACAACTCTATGTGTCATTTGGCATAAAACAATATAAGAATTTCAATTAATAAATGCATTATTATTTCTTTATTTCCTTTAATGTGTCAGGTTGGGCTTTTTATTAAACACTTAACAGTAAAATGCTACCAAAGAAAGGACCCCTGCATGACTCATGATTGTGTGCCTGTGTCAGTCTCTTAAAATGTCTGATAATTTTATTTATTTATTTATTTTTTTTTATGACATGGCAAGGTTTTAAACTGTCATGTGTAAAAACACATTGATATTTATGAGTTAATAGTTTATGATATTGTCAGCTATTATAATAAATTGTGTAAAAGTTTTTCAAAACCATATGAAATCAGCAGGATTACAAAGAGTATTTCAAAGAACTCAGATAATAAAAAAAATATCAGAAGTGCTCACTGTAGCAGAATTTGTAAACACGACTTTTTTGTT